TGGCACTGGCCCTGAATTTACTAGTTTGAGTGCACTCTCTGGTCTGCACAGATGGACATCCACATCAGATCTGGCTTAGAAAATGGGGAGGAGTGTGCCAAACATCCCACAGACCTACATGCAGTGCCTGATGTCAGAGAAGACATGAACATCACTGCCAAAGGGCAGAAGGTCTGTCACCCTTGGGTGATGGTGGTGCAGCTGGTCAGGGAAGATGTTTGCTCCAGCCATGAGGGGTTTTACAGCCCTGACATGCCTGGGAGAGAGATTAGGCAACTTGACAGATCATTCCTTAGTTTTTATGGCTTTGTGTTCAGTCTCACTGCAAAAAGATCCTCATGAGCACCAACACAGCATTAGAAGTGGGCCTAGTGGCCCACTTTCAAGTGGCTATTGATTGGTCTTTTAATTAATTACAGTGACATAAGTCATTACTCCCTTCCAGAATAATGACTAAGGTATCCCACAGAAACTTTCAGCCTTCAGACACAGAGGAAATTAGCTCCTGTGTCTGTAGATACAGATCTTCCAGGAAGGATGGTGGAAATCCAGTGAGGACAATGGCTGAACCAAAGATAAAGTGGGTCTTGAGAGGCATTAAGTGCATGGACCCTTCAAAAAAAAGACAGCTTATCCCCAAATCTATAAGCCACAAAGAACAGATAAGCAGAGAGACAGAGAGAGGCAGAGATAGGCAGCAAAAAGAAACAGTAGATTGATTTGAGAAATTTGATGGAAAACTATACCAGAAAAAACATGAATGACACTGAATCACAAAGAACTGGCCAAAAGACCACTATAACACACAACTGTAACTGCTGTTGGGTGTATTTATGCAGCAAGTTGCAAGCAGGAAGCACAGATGTGGATACATTTCTATTCTAATTTGTTCTGGTTGGGGGCATGAGGTTGTTAATATATTGAATTTCCCTAGCAGGTTTCTATTGGTGCCTGTGTGGATGAAAGGGGAGCTAATGAAATAATCACAGTGAATAATGCATCCATTTAATTTTGCTTTTTCTCCTCCCTAAATATCCACAACCAGCTCACAGACTCATCTGGTGTGTTCACTGGAGCTTGGACTTTGCTACCTTTTATTGCCCAGTGCTTTACACCATACACAGCCCAAAGAGCAGCAGCACTGCTTCCAACATGAACCATTCCCAGATGAAGGGCAATCCAAATCCCTTCCTGTTTTAATGGAGTTATTATCTTCCCAATTGCTTTCTTCTCTATGCTCTGACAATCCTGCTCTGTTCCACCCCACCAGGACAGTCGCACAGAGGTTTCACTACAAGGTATCGGGGCAAACTTTCTTCAGTCGTTTCTATCATCAACAGAGAGATAAAAGAAGTAAAGGTCCTCTAAGGGGCAAGTTGGAACAACTAAACAAGGCTCCTGTCTCTCTCCAGTAGTTACAGAGGAAGCCTAGAGAGATTAAACTCAGCAGGCTAAAATTAGCCTTGGTGAATATACCCTATAGTCTCATTCTTCTTCCCTAGCTGCGTGAGCACACAAATTCTGCTGGAATAAATTCTGCTCAATGAATTTCAAATTCATTTGAAAGGCTCCTGCATCTGACATTAAAACCTTCATTTTTTAGTAGCACTCCCATCAACAGAGCTCCAACACTGCTGGTGGATTTGCCCACCAGTGGAGACTGTTCTACTGGGAGGTACATTGGGGTTTTTCTCCTGTGCCTGGACAGGTGTTGGGGCAGTTGTTTGCCTTTCTCCAGCTCTCCAGGTCATCAAACCCAACTCTCTACATCCTGGTTTTGTGATCTATCAATAAAGTCACTGCCATTAGAAAGTCAACATTTTCTGACAGATGTGACACCAGTAATCACAGCAATTTCCTCTGCTAAGTATAGGGCAAAATCTCTCGTGTCTCAGGTATTATTTCATGAGAACTCTTAGTACTGACGGATTTGTGCCACCCAATCTGTGGTATCTGTGCTTGGCTCCTCTGACTGGTTAACAGGTCTTTTTTTTTTAGCTCTTTTTGTTCTTTTCCCCTTGTTTTTGCAACACTGAACCATACTTCTTGCCTCTGCTAAAAGAAACACAACGTTTCTTTTGCCCATCTCCTCAGGTCCAAACATCTCCAAGGCCGTTACTCATTCTCATTATCTTCAGATCTACCTTCCAACACGGTTCCCAAGCCCAGGCCAGATGCGGCTAACTAAAGGGAAGGGGCACCAGGGCTCAGTGCACTCTTGGCAGGTGCACTTGGAAAGGAGAACAAAATCATTGAGCACAGAGAAGGCTTAAAAGTGCTGCACACACACACACGGACACGAAAGAGGGGGGGAAAGAGAAAAGAAAGAAAAAACAAAGAACATCAGAAAAATGACTTTTGTTTTTGTGCTTTGTAGGTTTTGTTTATAAAGTACAACTCTTGAGTGTGATCAATAACCAGCTGCTGTGTATTAAATAAGGTCACTCTGTGTGCAGCTTGGATTAGAGAGGGAGAGACTGAGAGACAGCAACTCACTGCTTGGCTAATCCAATAAACCATTTATTCCAGCGCTGACTTTCAAGTGCAATTATCTTGCTACAGACTCTGCTGCAGTTGGGTATTTTCTGGAGTTCTCTCTTTGTAAAGAAGGCATCATCCAGAATAAAGCACTTGCTTGTTAGCAGCTGCTTACAGCAATGCACCAAGGTCATTTCTTCACATGCTTTTCAACCCAACTGATACCTCTGATCTTCCAAATGTGCTTAATTCTCCTCTTCTTATCATGACTGTGGCACTGCTCAGGCATCAAAATGCCTCTTTGCTGCACTGAGAGACCATCTTGCTTGGCCATGTCAATAAATCTATTTATCTGCCGATAAAACATGACCCTTAACAGGTTCCTGTGTTTCTCATACAATCATTAAGGTTGGAAAAGACCTCCAAGATCATCAAGTTCAACCTTTGACCAAATACCACCACACCCACTGAACCATATAGCAAAGTGCCACATCTACTTGTTTTTTGAACAGTTCCAGGGATGGTGACTCCACCACTTCCCTGGGCATCCTCTCACAATATTTGACAACCCTTTCAGTGAAGAAATTTTTCATAATATCCAACCGGAACATTCCTTGGTGCAACTTGAAGCCATTTCCCCTTGTCCTATCACTCGTTACGTGGGATGAGACCAACTCCCACCTCCCCACAAGCTTCCTTCAAGGAGCCTTAGAGAGTGACAAGGTCTCCCCTGAGCTTCCTTTTCTCCATATGAAACACACTCAGCTCCCTCAGCTGGTCCTCTTAGGACTTATGCTCCAGACCCTTCACCTGCTCCGTTGTCCTCTGAACATGTTCCATCACCTCAAGGTCCTTCCTGCAGTGAGGGACCCAAAGCTGAGCACAGTATTCAAGATGCTGGATAAGAGTTTGCTTCTACCCTCAGTTTTGCTGCCATCAGTCAATTAAATACCACTTCCACCACAACTGCTCAATAGAGCAATGATAGGAATATTGAACCTTATCTGTGTTAACTGTCTCTACCCTCTGAGACTCAGGGAGAATGGAGATTCATTCTCCCCTCACTTTTAAAGAGAGGATATATCTTGAATCTTCTCCACCAGCCTCCAAAGGTTTTAGACTCTGCCTGTAGCCATGTTGCAGAAGCACCAGAACACCTGCTCCTCTCATCTCTTCATAAACAACTTCTTCCTTCAAAAACACAATTGTTATCCACAGCGATCAATCAAATGCCATCAGTGACAAGTGAGAGCACACATCTCTGCCTTTCCTAGCAGCAGGCAGAATCATGGAATGATCAAGGTTGGAAGAGACCTTTAAGATCATCAAATCCAACCATCCACATAGCACTACCACTGTAACCCTTAAACCACTAAATCCTATCACCCAGTGCCAGATCTAGACACCTCTTAAACACCTCCAGTGATGGCAACTCCACCACCATCCTGGGAAACCTATTCCCATGCCTGATCATTCTAAGAGTCTTTCCCCCCCCCCCCCCACCATGCCACTCTGAAACTCCCTTGCCCGCCCTCTAGTCCTCTCACTGCAGGCTTGGCAGAAGAGATGTTTAGACAAGGTAAGGGCATAGTTTCTCTGACTGCAACAACAAGCTAAGTAAGGCAGAGGCAAATAACATACATCAGCCAAGCTGACCTGTGCATTTGATTTGACTCAGAGTGTCAGCTTGCCATTTCTGTTCCTTGCTTAGAGCAGGACATAGCTCAGGGAAAAAGTCAGAGCAGGCTACAGAAACGAAGATGAAAGTGGTTCTTATCCTGCTGGGGATGTTGACAATGATAAAATAGCCACTGTCAACAGAGCTGGAAGTAACCCAACAGGGAGGCCTGTATGGTAACTGCTCCCCAGCCAAGCCCCAGTGAGACCAGGGTGATAAGAACTGTGGAATCAGCTCAAAGAAAACCAGGTAACACAAGCCCCAGGCTTCAATGATGGAGGCTGTGGAGAAGATAAAGGTGGCAGCAGAACTTTTCCTTGCAGAAGAGATTCTTAACTTACCTTCCCTTTACACATGCATCCATCTACTGTTCTGTTCACTGCTAGACCTCTAAACATCCTTTCCTTAAAAGTATCACATACCTTTGCTGCCTCTCAGTCACCTGTCAACCACTAGACAAGACTTCTCTGTTACACAGCTCACGCCACGTGCCACACTCAGCAATGCTGAGTCCCTCTCTGATCCAGCTGCTGTCTCAGGGAGAAGAGTCACTGTGCTCTCCCTAATTCTTGGGAGGATACATCAGCCTGGGCTGAAGCCATTTGAGCAAAGAGATGAACTTTTAGCCTTCCTCCATAGCAACCCAGTGCTTGCTGCTCCTTGGATTTTTTGTCCCTGCTGCCGTGAATGACAAGGCAGAGATTAAATCAAGTGTAGGTTTTTCCTTTCATTTTGTTCAAATCTCCAATCTCTCTTTGCATTCCTCGCCTGGTTATTGATCACAGCCTTGGGTATCTTTGGTTTTTATTTGCACTCTTTACTTAGATGTATTGATAAGGCATACCCTGCCCGTTCCTTCAGTTTCTTATCTGTTATTCCATCTTTGGATACAAGTTTGTTAAAAACCAGAATGCCAATAACCATGTTCACCTGTCAAAAGAGAAACAACACATAATTTTGTTCTCAAATAGGTCAGGTCAAACTGGGTAGCATAGAAGGAAAAAAACGCAACATTTGACAAATTTAAGTCCTTCCCATTTCTCCCAAATCCAAATCACACCTCTGCAGGCCACCACCCCTTCTGTCCCCTCTCCACCCTGTCCCACCTCCCCTGGCCATGCAGCAGTGAGTTCAGGAGAGCAGAATGCAGCTGGCAGCAGATCACAGAGGCCAGAGAATCATTAAAGTTGGAAAAGACCTTCAAGATCATCAAGTCCAACCTTGAATCAGGTTTCCATGAACCAGGACAAATCTATATATTGCTCATATTGCTGCAGGGTTGTTTGAAGCCCAGTCCTTGCCTGAGGTCCAGCAAGGCAATCTCTGAACAATTTTTCAGGCTAATACAGGCAGCAAGTGGCCAGTACAGAGGCGAGCAGTGGGTTGACACTGGCAACTTCCAGAAGTGCCTTCTGGAGTCAGTGCTGCCAAAGCAGCAGCATTAAAAGGATGGGGTGATGTGGTGCAGACAACTTGTCATGGTTCTTGCTTGTTGAACTAGGATTGCTGCTCTCAAAACAAGAGGTGGAGAAGCACTGGAGCAAGTAGAAACATCAGCTGCTGTGGTGGAATGTCTCAGGAAACACTGCAGATGGCTCAGCACATAGATTAGCCATCTAGTTATTGCCAAAACATAGCAGTGAGCAGGACAACTCCATGTAGTCCTTTGGTCCATTTTTTTTAGGGTGAGAGCAGGGATCTCTGTATCAAACAGATATAAATATTCACAGTGAAATACAAACTGTACAGAGCTGAGGTCCTGCAAAGGGATCCTAAACTCCTCACTGTGCCCTTCCAACTGCATTCACTGCTGCCAACTGCATCTGGTTTACAAACCTCATCCAAACCTCAGCACCCTTGGAATATGAACACGTTAGTGGCACATGAGCACCATTCCCTTCATAGAGGCACAGCACTGATGGTGGAAAAAAGTGACACTCTCCTGGTTTCACTGTCAGTAAAACATCTGGGGTTGGTAGGATGATGAGGGAGATGCTGTTTGTTGTGCATGTTTAAGGCCAAATTCAGAGCTGTGTAACGTTACATGTTTACTGAGGTGAGTTTAATAGATCCTCGAGTGCTCCTGAGAGACACCCAGTCCAACACCTGGCCCAGAGGAAGGGAGATGTCTGCTCACATCAAACCTCTACCTAATTGCCTAAATCATCCTCCAAAGAATGAGCAATCTTGCTGGGTTTGGGTTGCTGGTTTCAGCAGGGCAGGACCCAGCTCACTGCTATGGAGTCCACAGCTCGGAATCAATGGGAAAATCTCAGAAATAGCAGTTATTTCTGTTTGCATCAGCTGCTGGGTCAGTGGTCTGATTTCCACAGCTGTGAGTCCATTTCTAGAGCTCACCATGGTATTGATTTAGAGAAACAACACTGGCAAGTCAGTGCAGCAACACAGC